GGTGTTCAACATTACTTTAATAATAATTTTTATAAATAAATTCTATTTAAAAAAAAAAAGAGCTTGCCTTTCTTGAAGATTATTGAAGGGAAGTCATGTCACACAGCCAGAATGTGAGAAATGAGGTGCAAAGGTTGTTGAGGTGCTAAAACAGTGGGACTTTGAGCAAATTATTAATTCTCTCTCAGTTTTAGCTTTTTCCTCTGTAGAAAAAGCTTGGAAATTACTGCCTTAGGAGTTCTTCCCTTCTTTTTGCCATCTCAAGGCATTCCTCATGAGGTTCTGGTTTTCCTCACTTTGTGCACACATCAGAGGTCCGTGGACCACTATTCAGTATTGTATATGTTTATTGTTTGTTAAAAGTCAGAGAATCTTGGAAGTAATACACTGCAATTTTTTAAAAAAAAAACATTTTAAAGCATCATTCAGTTTTGACAGTGTGTGAATTTGGAAAGTATTTATCAACTTAATTTTGAATTAATATGGTTTTATTTTACTGGTACTTCATTGAGTAGTTTAACTGCCACAGCGGGCAAAAATCGCTAGTTGGCGTCTTGCACGTTGCCATAGCTCTTTGGTGTTTTTTTTTTTTTTTTTTTTTTAAATTTTTATTATTTTGTGTGCGTGTACCGTCAAATCAGATCTGACTGGTACAGGAGGATATTGCGCCTCCTTTTCCTGCAGAGCGTCTGGTGGATTCGAACCGTGTTCCTCTGGGATTGCAGTACAGTTTCTTGTCACTAGGCCACCAGAGCTCCCCTCTTTGGTGTTTTTGAATGGTCGTTTATGACCCGATCTTTTAAATCCTTACTTTATTACACTATGGATGGCAGTGTTGGTTCAGTGGTAGAATTCATACCTTCCATGCAGGAGAATTCCATGAGGTTTCTTTTTCTTGCCACAGTACCTAATGTGCAGTCAACACCAATCTGCCAATAGAGACTTTCACACTAGCTAGCATCTTGATGACGGTTGTGTCTTGATGGTGGTCATGTAAGGGAAGTTTTTTGGGTCGTGTTTGATGTGTGTTACTGTTCTTTTCCCTTCAAAAGTAGGTGCACCTTGAACCTTTGACCAAGGGTGGAGGCCTGCTAGAGGGTGTGGCTTTAAAATCACGCAGGGCCCTCGGGCCTGAGGCCCTCATACCAAATGTATTAATTGTAGAATGAATATTCTTTATATGACACAGCAATCATGTGTCTATTTGCTGTACTGAACAGCTTGGAGTTGGTGTGTTGCTGAACACTGTTCCATAGTCTTGTCTAATACCATAATGGTTACCCATTATGTACAATGTTTGGATGAGTTTTCAGATTGATTCAGCTGGGAAGGAGGAGTGGCATCCACTTCCTAAACTAGATGACTCTGGAAAACTCCACAAACTCTCTAAGCTCTAAATGCACAAGAAATGATGTTAGTTATAGAACAGAGTTCAGATCTTTTGTGCAAAGCTTACTCTGAGTCGTATTCGACTTGACGACGTGTAACCACGCTAAATAAGACTAGTGCTGTTATATCTGGAGGAACACTCTATTTTGTACGTCACTCTTTGTCAATGTACAGTATGAAGTAACCTGGATTTGCTGTGATGCTGAACCTTATGCCATTGGGGTCTCAAATACTGTAATGGTTTCCCCGTGTGGAAAGTGTTCGGTGGATCTCCTAGGTATAAAACAGGTTTGGGAACAGGAGTGGCATCTACTTCCTAAACCACATGCCTCTGGAAACTGTGAACTTGGAGAAATGACAATAGGTATGGAAAGGCATTAGGTCTTTCGTTCATAGAGTCGCTATGAGCTGTGCTCAACTCGATGGCAATTAACAACAACAACATGATGGTTTCATCAAGAGTCTAAATGTCTAGCTAAATGGGTTCATCAGCTCTTCAAGACTGAGATAAATTAGGAAGTGGCTACTTTCTATCTGTCCAATCTACTTCCAGAAAGCCATCCAGTCCAAATGCTATGGCTCTCAATGTTCTGATTTGCCTCCAGTCCCAGGAAGGGATAGGATTGGGTAGCATTTCATTGTGTTATTCATGGGCTTCCATGAATCCTGGAGTGACTCTGTAGCAACTAACAACAGCAACTTCTCTGAAATCCAAGCCAAGTAGGTTTATGCTCCTAGTTTTATTTTAAATCAAATAACAAATAGCAAATTAGTGAGATATTTAATTGCATGATGCCATTTTTAATTGAAATATTCACTTTCTCTCAATTAGAATTCTGAAATGTGGTACAAGCGTCACAGTATTGCTATTGGAGAGGTGCCAGCTTGCCGCCTTATCCACCGCAGACAGCTGACAGAGGCCAACATCGAAGAGATCTGGAAATCCATGACCTTATCTTAGTATGTGCATTTGTCCTATTTGTGATATTAATATTGATGAGAACTGTTAGTGAAGTGTTTTTTGTTTTTTCTTTTTTGCTCCTCCATTATTCTCAGCACAGTTAATTTTCTGAAATTATGTGTAAAAAAAATCTCTACTTCTGATTATATTATTTTCAGCTGTGCTGCCTGGCAAACCCTTGATTTAACTGAGTTCTCGGAGTTGTATATTGTCTATTGAATAAAACTTACGGGTAGGAGTTTATGAAAGTTTTTATAAGCTTAAACTCATGGAAGATCTGGCCTTATATATTTAAAGCAATGTAAGTAAAGATAATGGTGTCATAGCGAGTTTTTTCCTATTTAAAAAATATGCTTCTAGCAATTTCTCATTATTGATTAAGCCAGTTTTTATTATTTGTAATGTTGTTGCTGTTGATTCCTGTCAAGACAAGCGTGACTCATAGCGACCCTATGAACAAAAGGCCTGAAGCCTTTCTGTAACTATCGACATTCATCAAAGTTCATAGAGTTTCCAGAGGCATGTTGTTTAGGACGTGGATGCCACTCCTGTGTCCAATATTTATAATAGTTTTACGTATAAAATTTTCTTCGTCTTTAAGACTGAGTTATTATAATGAGTGAAACAATATATTAATAGTAAACCATGTCTTCTAAGTTTGTTTTATTCATAATTCATTTGTAACCTTTTTGTTGTCACACAAAGATATTGGGTAATATCCAAAAATGATGCATCTGAATGATAGATATTTTGCAGTATTAGATTTTTTAAACAAATAATGGTTTTTAAACTGTAAATTCTTTCTTTCTTATCTATTTATATAGTTTACAGAAAATCCTTGGCCTTACCTCCTTAGAAGAAGTTTTAGACAGCACACTTATCAACTCCAAATTCATCATCCATAACGTGTACAATGTTAGCAAGCATGGGGTGGTTATTCTTGATGACAAGTCAAGTAAGTAAATAATCATTTTTTTCCTCGTAGACCCAATATAGACTTTTTTTTTGTTCTGGGTTGACCATGTGGGCCCACCGTCTTTTATTTAATTATTGCTTAAATGCTGGTTTCAAATGTATTTTACCTAATTATATATTGAAGAAATATCATAGAAAGTTTAATGTCTAGGCATCTGAGCAGAATTCCTCCTTAGCCTTGTTCAGTGTTAGCTACCTTGAGTATTAAAGGAAAAATTGTTGTTGAGTTGATGACTCTGTATATGGCCGAGTAGAACTGTGCTCCATTGGGTTTTCAGTGGCTGTGATCTTTTAGAAATAGATCACCAGCTCTTTCTTCTAAGCTGCCTTTGGGTAGATTTGAACCACCAACCTTTTCTTTAGTTGAAAAACTTTTACTTTTGTATTTGTTGTTATGGGTCATCAGATTGATTGCAACTCTTAGCAATCCTGTGTATCTAACAGCTCTGAACCCTGCCCTGTTCTGAGCCAGTTTCACTGGCTCTGATATACCTACCTTATTGCCCCAGTCACTGAGTCAATCCATCTCATCTGGGGTCTTCCTCTTCTGCGCTGTCCCTCCACCCTTCTGAGAATGATTTCTTTTTCCAAGGACTGGTCCCTCTTGGCCACATGGCCAAAGTATGTGAGAAAGAGTTTCATAATCCCAGCCTCCAAGAAGAAACTTGGTTTCACCCTCTCCTGGACAGACCTATTTGTTCTCTTGGCAGTCCATGGTATGTTCAGTACTCTTCTTCAGCACCACAACTTGAAGGCATCGATTCTTCTGACTTCTTTAGACATTATCCAGTAATTGAGCACTTAACTTATTTGCATCACTCACAGATTTTTCACTGGGCATTAATTGACTCCATATTGTCCCAGGAAGATCCTTGAGGAATACATTTTAGAAATTAGCTGAAGTTTGTTCTCAGGTGGATCTTTTGGTCTAGTGGATTCAAACTTGCCTTTAAGTTGGCAGCCCAACTTCTTAATCAGTAGGCTTCCATGCTCCCTTTGATACCTATAGTGATTTTAAAACATCCAGCTAGAATCCTAGGTTGGTTTTAAAACCTTCAAATTCCTTCCTGATGAATAAGGGGTGAACCAGAATGAGATAGACTGGTTGTTTTTTTTTAAGTTCAACTTTTGATACTGAGCTTGGATAGGACTAGAATGAGCTTTTTTTGGAGTGGAAAGATGGTATGCTTCTTGGACTTTTGTAAATATTATTAACTTTAGGTTGATGAAGTCTCCAGGACAGCAGATAGCATTGTACCAGAGAGAACCTGAGATGTTATAAAAGGGAATGAGGTTTTTCTTTCTAGGCCCTGTGTTCTGTCATGGGCAGAATGTTTCTTTGAAACTGGAAACACTTTTCCTGTATCAGGAACAAAGGATGCTGGAAAGCAGGCATAGTTAGACTTGTGTATTATTTCTTGCCACATTAATATCGATGTAAAGTTAAGTCACATAGAATGAGGAAGAATGTAAACTTTGAAATACACTTAAAATCCTTTAATGCTCTCTGAGCCTGTCGCAAACTTTAATACTTTTCAGTGATCAGTTAGGTAAGCAGGCATCTTTCATTTATATTATATAAGTTCTTCAGAAAGAAGAGAGCTCTTCAGACACTGAGATTCATTAGATCTGACACAGTTCAACAAGCATCTTTGCAGTTTTACAGAGTGGAGAGGGGGAAGAAGTGGACACCTGACTGCTGGCCCAGCTCGTCAGTGGTCTGTCTGTGCTGGGGCATGAGGGAAGGAGAGAAGAGCCTTTCCATCAAATGGTTCCCTGGGATTTTTTTGTGTTTTTAGAATTTTCACCATTATTTTAAGGCCCTTATAATATTAATGACATGTTTCCATTTGTCATGGCATCTTTCTCAGCCTAAAGCATAGAAAAATGTTAAAACATATAAAGACCACTGACTGGATTAATAGAATTTACCTTGTTGAAAATTCATTTATTCATCTGATAACTATTTTTTTTTTTTTTAGGTTTTGCATGTTTGTTCCTTCTATAAATCAGGATGATGGATTTATCTTCTTAAAAAATGTTATTTCTTGCAATAAAACATCTTTTTTATTTTTTGCTTCTTTTTCACTTTAAGCTGTGAATCTTTTCCTTAAAGGCATTGTTAGCTGTGATTTTTATGACACATGCTCTAACGTTGCTGCCAAAGCCTTCGATCTTGTAAATGTTCTGATATGTGAAGAGGGAGCTCTGGTGGCCTGGTCAGTAGGCAGTGGTCCTGCCAGCCTGGAGTCTGCACCTTTTGGTGTCTTGATTCTTCCAGCAGCTCTCCAGGATACAGAGGCACAAGGTCTCTCATTTGATGCACAGCCTTGGAAACCCCATGGAGGGAGGGGCAGCTACGATTCTGTTCTGATTTGATGATCATGAGTTGAGAATGTTGTTGTTGGTGTTGACTGCCATCGAGTCGAGCACGACTCAGCAACCCTATGAACAAAAGGCCTAAAGCCTTTCTATAATATAACGATTGTCATTTATCACAGTTCATAGAATTTCCAGAGGCATATTGTTTAGGAACAAGATGCCACTCCTGCTTCCAAAGCTGTCTTAAGTTGGGAGTTCCACCAAACCCTCTCCACCATGGGCAACCATTATTATGGCATTTGACACTACAATCACAGAAGGTTCAGCATCACAGCAACCCCAGGTTACCTCAGTACAGCATATCGTGCTGTACCACTTAGAAAAATATAATAACTGACTTTTTAAAATATAAGGGCCCTCTCTGAGGACTTGTTGACTCTAAACAAGACGCTTAAATAAAAATAATCAATATACCTTGTTGTTGTTATGTGCCTGTGACATATAGCGACACTATGTACAGAAGCTCTGAACCCTTCCCTGTCCTGAGCCAGTCTTACTAATTCTGACACACCAACCCCCATTTCCCCAGTTACTGTATCAATCCATCTCATCTGGGTCTCCCTCTCCTGCACTGTCTGTCTACCCTTCCAAGCATGATGTCCTTCTCCGAGGACTTATTTCTTCTGGCCATGTGCCCAAATATATGAGACGGAGCTTCAAAATCCTAGCCTCCAAGGAGAGACCTGGTGATTTCCATACGTGATTCCTATTTTACATGGATAAGCAATGCATTCTTCTTATACCAAGACTGCATATAATTCCTTGAGTTAAATCCAATTACATAAAGTACTTTTTTTTTCCTCTTTCTGCCTTTTCCTACAGAAGAACTTCCCCATTGGGTACTGTCAGCTATGAAGTGTTTGGCAAATTGTAAGTACTAATTACCTCCCAGTTTTGTAAAAGGAACAGAAATTAGTGCCTGGTATTGGAAAATGACGCTCTGTGGCCTGAGCACTGGTTTGAAACCTGTGAGATTGATTAACTATTTTGGTACGGACTACTGTGCTTGCAATGTTAAATTTATGTATGACTTAGAGGACTGAATTATAGAAAATTTTAAGATGAATTTAGTGCTTATTATACTTTCCAGTATAACTGCCTCTTAAAACCTGCTGGAAGGTCAACTATGGGTTGATTCTGACTCCATGATACACAACAACAACAACAGCAACAACAACAATGTTGTATTGTGTATTATTGTAACAGCTATTTATTCGGAATTTATAAGTTTTTATTCCTAACTACTTACATAAGTTCCTAAGGGTCTCCTGTACGTATATTACCAGTTTACTCAGCAGATTTAGCCTAGTATGAAATTTTCATAGGGTAACATATTAAGTGATAGACTAATATTTTAGAAGACTGGTTTAACAGTTAGGCAAGTTAATTAGGAAGGAGAAGAAACTGCATGCAGAGATCCAAGAAAGGCTGTTTTGGTAGTTTGGGTTTATAAAATGAGAGGTCTAGAACAGTGTGGCTCCTCTGAGGATTTTCAGCAGATTTTGAATATCAGAAGCACTTAAAGGAATGAATGAATATAGAATTGTATCTCACTAATACTACAAATTTGGAGATTTTAGAACACTTAATTTAAAGAAGGCTAATGTACCCTATGCACAACAGAACACACGCAGACTAACAGAAAGAGCAACCTAGGTAGAACTATCAAGTATGGAAATACAAAGGAG